ACCTGGGTTGAACATATGTGTTACGTAGCCTAAGTTTCCATCCGCTATTTGCTGATCGGCGTACATGTAACCATGTGTCCAGCCTATGAGAATGAGTAAAGAACGATTTAATGGAGAGTGTATAATGTCACTATGGCAACGTGTGGGAAAACGTTGCCCAAAAAAACGAACCTTCTTTCATCTCCTTAGAGTTTCCCCGGTAGCTCGATGCGTTAACCGTTTTTGATGGTGCGATATCTTCCTTGTAGCATAACATATGGATGTGGTGTTAATTTCAAAGTAAAAACGAGATTAAATTGCTGTCGAAATTTCCTTGCCAAAAGGACGTTATGTATAAACTTTTTAAAACGCACGTGCTGTGCTATTGTTTTGCTCATTAGATTTTTTGTTTCGCCATGTTCTCGTTGCCGTCGCTGTCGTGATTTTCTTAAAGTCCCTAATAATGTGAAAGAACTGGGTCAGGATCAGTTGAAACTGAGCTTGGTGGCCTGTTCTACAAGAACTCATAGAGGTTCCTGAAGCATTATGGGATTTGGGGTCAATGCATCTCCCGCTGGATGGGTTGTATTTCTTGACATGGTTTGATTTGGGACTGTTTATTCTAATGTACTTTTTAAATTCTGTGACTATCTGAAAAAAAAAACAAACAAACAAGAAAAAACAAGGAAAACACTGTTGTGTGCATTAATAAACGATGATTTGATACAAGAGAACATCATCTCATATTGTTTTTTAAGATGTTATATCTACGTCTCTTTGTTACTTACCCGGTTGCACATGCGCCTTAATGGCGGTATGTGTCTTCTTCAGACTTCCCGCGATACTGATGACGTCAAACGTAGACTTCGTCCACGTGTGAACCCAGACCTCCTCTAGCCAGGGAAGGTAGTACAAGTCATAAGGATATCCCCCGGTTGGAATTGTTTCTTTAACCTTCAAAGGCAAGGATATCTCTTCAGTACATCTTAAGATATTTTAAGATTTTGAAAGAAACGTATAGGTGCAATAAATCTTTCTTTCCCTCCGGTGAGCGGGGCTCACAGACCATGCACATTACCTAATTGTTTGAAAATGTCAGTTACAAAAAAAGACAAAACTTTGCTTTGCAAGAATAAAGCGCAAAAAAGGGAAAATACTGAGAAATATTCAAGAAGTGTATGACTTAAAGCTTAGGCATGTCATTTAATCAGGCGGCCCTTTACTCTTCAGACCTGGATCACTTTTATTTCTCCTGGTGAGCAATATACAGAAGCGCCCCAGATATATCATTATGCTAATGAATTGTTATTCCTAATCGCACCTCTTGTTTTTCCACATCA